CCCTTATATTTCTTTATAATTTCGTTTTTTTTCTTCCATTATTATTTTAAAAGTAGTAAATTAAATTCTTTTTTTCTATGGTCCCGAGGGAGAACACATAGGTATATTAAACGCTCAAATTTTGACAACGATACCTTCGTTTGCTAGAGTGTTATCCTTATGAATTGATTGGGGAGTGTCTAGAGCAGTAGGTCTAGAAGGTTGGGTTCAGATACACCTGTACTGACTGTTGACGGAAAGTTGGAGCCCTGTAACACAGTAAATATAAAATATTAGAAGTTGTTGGTTGACAACGTAATTTAAAGATTTTTACCAAATCCAAGTGAATAACGACGATGATGATGTCATGTAGTTATGAGCACATGACTACATGACATCATCATCGTGTCAGCCTACCACCGTCCACTGTTGAACAAATAAATATATAACATAATATGCTTTGTAAATACGATCATAAGGTCTCTTTTTATTGAGAGAGAGAGAGAGAGATATATGAGGCACCTCATGATAAGTATTGATAAAAATTGACACATACTGGCGACCTTAACTCGCAGCGAGTCCGCCAGTTTCATAAAACGGTACCGCGAATAAAGCCCCCGATACGTGGTCAGTTTTCACCGGCTATCGTAAACACGTTGCACAAATTATTGCGCTAATATTTTAGAAGCACCGATGACAGTTGTATTGATTTAAAGAATCATATTATGATTTATGTCAACGTACCAACTTGCGGTAAGCAAGTCACAAAACTTGCCTTACAAATCTTCGTGACATCATTTTAATTCATTAGTAAATACTTCGTTACATTAGAGGAACCCTTTGAAATATAATTAATTGCAGTTTATTTCTTAACTAATAAACTTTCTTTGCCATTGTAAAAGTATTTAACTTCTTACTTTCAACTTTTATATAATGATCTTAACAGAGACCTTTGTTTATTTATGAAATTAGTTTTATTTAAACGAATATACATTATTTTTTGGATCGCCCCATTGGTACTAATTACTGTGAACTGGTAGATAATGCCTAAGGCGCTAGGTCCGTTTATGTACCGAAAGCGCGTACAGCGTTAATAACTAAATATATATTATGCTTTATAAATAATGACCTGAAAGGTAGTTCCAATACAATTTATTTTGTAAAAACCAAACTGACAGCTTGTTTTGTCATTCCTTCCTGCCTCCATTCAAACATGGCAACTGATTGCTTTACTTTCGACAAATTATAACTATGTTCCCGGAAATTATGCAGACATAATTCCAAAGTTATACCTATTTGATAAAAATACTGTTACTATAATTAATCTAATATGTTTAAGGCATTTGGCAAACAACATATAATACATAATATGTTGAAGTTTTAAGAGAAGTAGGCACTTTACTCAGCATTCTATTTTTGACATTATATCTGTACATTTCCATCTAAATGATGAAATAGATCTCAAATGAGATCTCACGTCCACTTTGACTTATACTCTTCTTGTAGTAAAAGTTCATGTCAAATTCAGCCACTCCTTTATTTGCCTGGCTTTACAAACAATTATCCAGCCTACCTCATTTATAGTTTTACAGATTGTTCTTCAACGGTATTTTCAAAATCATGAAAATACCGTTGGTCTGCCTTCCGACTGAAAGACTTTCTTTCGACTCTTTTTTAACTCAGTTTACCCAATTATCTCCTAGTTAAATATATTTTTCCTTCGTTTATCCTCAAAATAGGTGTTGTGTGTTCACAAATTGTCTCGGTAGAGAGTTAGAGCGTTACTATGAACGCTATCATGTCACTATCACGAATAGTAGAGTTGCGGGGACGATTAAGAGTACAATTAAAGATTCAGGTATTTTAAAATTTGTATACTTTAATTTTTATTTTTGTATTTACTACACTTCCTTTAGTGTAGGCTTTTTATAAGATACTAACTATAAGCTACTACTATTTAGTGTTTCTAACTTTGAAATTAAAGAACTGCCATATAATCTTTCGTCCCTTATTTTATCCTTTTAGGAGTGATTAAGAAATCCCGTTAATTATGCCCAATAATTATCCCTTTGGTAAGTAAGTAGGAGTGAGTAACATAAAAGACATCTGCTAGGAAAATTTCAAGTTACTAGCCCCAGCTTTTGGCTCTGCGTTGATGAATCAATCAGTCAGTCAGGGCAAGTTATTTTATAATTATAATTTTGATTAAAACTAGTACAAATACAAGAGATAATAAATTAAGATATTCTAAGGTATAACATGTTTGAAGTGTAGATTTCTTTAGACGCTTTGGGCATTTTCGAACAACAAACGAAACCATTTAACTCGCGACAATGTTACTGTTACCGACAACTCTGTATTTAATTATCTACATATATTAGTTCGATAGGTCACGAGAGTTAAGTTTTGGTTGAAATACATTGATAATATCTTCTTAGTCGGACACTCTTGCCAGAGTGGTCGTGGCACTTTTAGGGCTGCTGCTCGTCTTGCGACCTCCCTTCATTTCTGACGGCTTCTTGCATTGCGAGCACATTGTATTGCAGTCGATTCGGTGGTAGCTTTAATTAGGTCGAACGACCTTGTGGTCTTGTGCCCTCTACACGGCAGTGCACTATAAGTTTCTCCATCGAGTCTTCTTTTCTAGAGATGTGTCCAAAGAACTTCAGTATTCGTAACTGCACAATCGTATCGTCGATTGTGCAGTTCATCACCTTTGTGTTCTTGTTGATTCTCCTATCTTTCCAAATTCTTTCTGATTTTGTCATGAAAGTGTTTGAAAGTACGCCGTCCACTTTTACTGCTGCTGTTACGTCTTTGTAAAGTCGTTTTAGTAGGAATATCAGATGTTGCGGTACTCCCACCTTTGATAAGACTTTCCAGAGACGCTCCCATATGACGGTGTCGAACGCCTTACTGAAATCACAATTCAAAGCAGCAATACAATACAAAGCAGATGTAGAGCAGCGTGTTGAATTCTCTGGCCTACTCGATTATTAGTATAAGTATTTGTGCCCGCGTTCCTCTCCTTTCAGGAATCCAGCTTGTTCGGGTGCAATTTGGCTTGATGGGTATGCTTGAAGCCTGAATGGGTATTAATGATGTGAAGTTACTTCACATCATTAATTTTAACTTTACTTGAATGCGAAATCAGCCAGATGTGTCTGCATTTGTTGCACTTTTTGGTGGAGCCTTTTTTGTGCAAGGGGATAAATGCTGACCGAGATCAGTCTTCTGGTCAGATGCCTGACTCCCATATTTTGCAACATATGGTCTACAAAAATTCCCCTCCTGTTTCTCCCATTGCCTTGAAAATTTCGACCGGGATCTCATCTACGCCTACTGCTTTATTGCTTTCCAAGTGTTGTATTGCCGCTCGTACTTCATCCCGCAAGATATCGGGTCCTCAGGCACCGGTGTACTGCTGGAAATATTAGCTGACTTGCTTGGAATTATTTGAGAAATGAGATTTGCAGTACTCCCTCTAAACATCAACAATGTCTTTGAAGTGAACGTTTGATGTCAGTGAACGTTACTCCATGTACGTTCTCTATTGCCCATGTCTTAGGTTTAAACTGATAAGGTATCTGGCGAGCCTTATCATCGAGGTTTTTGTTCTGCAACCTATCGGTGTGCTGCTCTATTTCTTTGCAAATCTTACACAACGCATTATTGCGATCTTTTTGAATGGCAGCTTGTACGGCTGATATTTTGGCCTTCCATTCAACACCAGTCACTCCACTGGCTTCCAGCTATCTTCGTTCTTCCACTAAGAGCCAAGTGTCCTTTGACATCCAATGTTGCCGTGTAGTTGGTTGGTAGGTTGCGACTCCTTTACTGCATTCACAATACATTTCTTAACGGATATCCACAAAAAATAGAATCCTTGGTCCTAAAATCCGCACTCCAAGCAGAATGCTTACTCTCGATTAATGCGGTAAGAGAGTTTTTATCTACAATCTGCATACATATAGGTCTTTTTGACATTTTTACCTTTTATATTTTAAGCCTTAGTTTACCAAAGGAGCTCCTTCATCTTGATCTTATTAGAATGTAGTCTATTTGGTTCCAACACAAATCACCAGGGGATGTCCAAGTATATAATCGTCTTGGATGGTGCTTGAAGGTGGTATTCATTATGATCAAGGTGTTGATGGCTGCAAATTCTATTAGGCGGTCTCCTTTGTTGTTTCTGACGCAAAGACCATACCTTCCAACGATGTTACGAATTCCATCATCCATAGTAGTGTGCCCCCTTTGGCGTTAAAATCTCCCATAGTGTGTGGCGGCTCTCTTTTGGGTGTTGTATCTGTAGAATATTCAAGGTCTTTATAGAATATTTCTACTGACTCATCAACACTCAAGAAGACGTGGGAGCATATACCTGTATGATATTTAGTAGAGTCGGTGCCGCGCTTTTTTTTTTGAAATAAGCCTGTCACTTTTTGAGTTGTATCCTAGTACAGCTCCATTCCATATCTTTGAAATCGCTATTGCCACCCCTGAAAAACTACTCTTGTCATTTCCGGAAAAATAGATGATATGATTTTCAGAGTCAAAATGAACGCTCTCTTTCCAATGTGTCTCGCTGATTCCTGCTAGTGTTACCTTGCATCGCATTAGTTCCTTCTCTAACATAAGAAGTTTGTGTCTTGCTAGCAAATCTCTGACATTCCAGGTACTGAAGACAATTTGTCTTCTCAGCCTAAAGCTTCTTCCAGTAGCATATATTCATATGGGATGCTTGGTTGCATGCATCTTCATGGTCAATTTCACACCTCCAGTCCCGGAAAGCTCAGGGTGCCGGTATAAATCTCGCTCTAAATCTCTGTGTGTCCATCATACAGCTTCCTTGGAACAATTCATGTAGTAGTTTCCCCTAACTTTCGACATTGCGGTATTATAACCTCAGTGGCTATAATCGTCCATATGTGAACCGGTTCCGATCGTTCATCTTTGCGCTTCACTAAGATTCTAGTGGCTACCGCTGCCCTTCACCAGGATTCAGGCACTATACCCTTATGGCAGGCTGGCTGGATTTGGCCGTTCCGACATCCGCTGTCTCCGCCCACTCCACCGTTGAGGTCTTCACCCGCTATACGCCAGAGAGCTGGGGCCCTATCCGTACTTGGTCATCGTCTCCTTTCAGCCTACTGAAGAGAGATATGTCCAGCCCCGCGACGGAGACGCGTCGGATTGGAATTACTCCAGTGAAAGATAGAGATGGTCACTCTACCCTCCCTGGAGCCGATATAACGATCTCAAATTGGCCCAAGACCGAAGCTAAAAATTGATATTATAACTATATATAATATAAACACACATTGTGTATATACGTAAAACATAGCTATACCTAAATCATGTCGGAACTTTTCAAATAGAAAAAAAAACAAAAAAAAACCTGTTATAATCAAAACAAATTTTAATTTTCAAGTTTTCACTTCTGTGGGCACTCCCGGCGTGCCATTGTATTTTTTTATAAAATAATAAATTTTGAAACGTCTGTGGATCTCTTCGTCACAGCTTATATCGTTGCATAATGGCAAAGATAATGATGTCATGAAGCGGAAGAAGCAATTACGACCTCGAGCCGTTTGCAATCAAGTCGAGATATTTTGCAGAAAACAACATTGCAGAGAATACTGAAATTATTATTTGGCTTGCATATTATAACGGTAAGTATCCTTCGTCTAGAACAAAGAAGAACTCTTATCTTACAATTTTCCGTAGGCGATAAAAATGGCTGCACTTAGTCGAGCACCATAGTATTATTAGCTGTACAAAAGTAGTTCCAGAATTCAATTATGTTTGCATTGTGCACCATTGTGTATACTTCTATAAAACCTAATCTGTTCTAGAAAAAAGGAAGCAGTTAAATATGGTGGTTACATTACAAAAATTCTGTTGCCAAAAATCTGTGCCGCAAGCGGCAACTAACGAAGTCTATTGAACGGACACAGTAATAATTCCTATGTAAAAATATAGACTTTATATAAAGACACAAATGTGCTCCATCAGTGTTTATTAGCAATCATTTTTAGGGTTCCGTACCTCGAATAAAGATCCGTATCTTTAGTATCATACCGTATCGTAGACAACGGCCGCATATGCATATTTTATGCATATTTCGACACTCTCGAGGAATCAAAATTCATCAATTCAAAGCGTGACCTGACGGTGGCGAGACCTGTTGTTATGTGTTTTTTAAACTCTCCGTTACACAATTTTCACTGTCATACATAAAAGAGAATCAGTTTACGGGAGATAGTGTATTAATTGACCAGATCTAGCTTTCCGCGAGCAAAGCAGAGAGTGAAAGCTAGCGTTCCATACTAGAATAATAAAATACTCACATAACTACTAGAATCTTAAGCGTACCCAAATAGCAATATATATAACACTTAACCGAAAAATAACAAAACACAAAGTAAGTATTAATTTACGCCTGAGTAATAGTACGTCAAGATTGTCAAGTAATCCGCTTAAAGTAGATAATGTATTCTCGTAAAATAAAGTCGAGTTAAGTCTCAAAGTAATTTGTATTATTTCGCTTCATGTTTTGCTTAATTATTCGCTACATCTAGACAGGCAGGTGCGACGAATCTGTATTTATTTGCATTAAAAATAAATTTGCCTAGAGACTTGCGTAATTCAGGATTATGATCCGACAGCTGTGTCAGACAAATTCGAATTTGCGGATTTAGACTTAATTTTGCAACCACCATGATTAATAGGTATACGCTGTAACATGTGTTTGTACAAGCGGAGAAAAAATCCAGACATTACGTCGTCTGTTATATACAAATATCCAATCTAGTTGGGCACTTCCTTTTATTATTCAGGTATCTTTAAAAGCACTGACAGCGCTCAATTTTTTAAAGGTATAAGCCGCATAACGCATAACGACCACCACTATGTAGAATCTACTGTATACCTACACCATTCACCAATACCACAGTGAATATTTACAGACCGTGCAAAAACTTATAGGAAGTCTACTCTAGTTTCACAACTTTTTTTGGAGAGTAAAGTTCTCATAAAAATGTTAGTGAAAACAATATTGTTCCTAAAATTTAAATCATACATTCGTGCAAACTAGCCGCTCCGTTCTTTAATAACCTTTCAAATAGCGATCAAAAGTCTAGAATAGTGTTCGTTTTTTAATAAAGCTATAAAAATTTAAGCATAATATTACCAACACTTTTTTTGCCAAGATCACTACCGCTAAAGCACTTTTGTTTGCTACATTAGTGGTTTATTTATTTATTTATTTATTAATGTACATAATATAAACCGGAACTGAACCGAAAATGTTAGAACCGCAATAAAATTTATATAATGGATTACAAAATTGCAGTATTTCAATAACTGATTCAACGTTATCAAATTTATCTAGTTATCATACCATCATAATTATTACTTCTTAACTTCACGCTACTTAAATTATCGCATGTGGTATAGTCAATCTAAACCAAGCGTCAGTAAAAAACAACACAAAATATAAACTGATTGTTCAACAAAATTCATTAATTGTGGGACTTTTTTCAAAAAACTTTGTTTAATTTTCTTAAAGTGGAGAGATGAATTTTTTCAATTGCTCTTGGAATTAGAAAATATTATTAATGGCAATATAAAAATTCTTGCCTAATTCGAACATTTCATGTTTTCCTTTACAGTGACATGAACTACTTGGCGAATGAAACTAACTCTTAACATGCAATTCTGTTTTTTTTATCCCTGAAGTTAAAAGAAGAATGTTAAACAGTTAATGCATTTATCTATCAATCTATCTATCTACAAGTAAAGTTTAATAATTCAGAAATGGATGATCAATTCAATTATTCTCATTAGATTGGTTGAATATCCGTTCAGACGTATTAAAGACATAAGTTTTAGTAGTAAGTCTAGTCCGATCTAGTCCAATATGTTAATTTTGTGATCTCTGTTAATAAATAAAACTAAAATCTGTGGAATCATGGCAGGAGAATCTTCTACAACAGACAGTAACAAGCAAATAAAATCTTGACATCTATTTACTTTAAATTTTATTTCATAATATTCGAAAACTATTCTTCAATATTCATAACTATACATAAATATTAATGATACGCCATAATTTTCAACCACCTTTCTTTTATTTTTATGGGAATCTTTTTAATTATTGATAATGCAATATCATTAATAAGTAATTATTGCTTTGACACTCCACCACAAAACTTTGCAATTATTGATTTTAAAATAATTTAAAATCAGAGTGTACTTCCGAGTCTACCATTAGGTCCAGGTAATTACAACGATTCTAAAAACTGGGTCTAGAAAAAATATCTTTTATTCATCTTGGAATTTATTCACCCAGGTGAAAGAATGTGATTTTTTTTATTTATCTTATGTACTTTTATGACCCACATAAAGCATGATAGTAAGCACTTTCAAATTTAGAATGTTCATTACACAATATTTGGACATTATAATAAGTCACTATTAATATTAATTTAATTAAATACTAATTTAACTAGTATTGATTGTTTGATTCAAAGATATTGTGTTTAAACATTCACCGGTAATAAACATCATACAATTATTGATAACTATTAGCGGCGCGCCCCGGCTTTCTGTAAATTCTAATTCACCTAGGTGATATCCTTCCAAGGTGAAATGAGGGAACAAAAAAATCTACTTCATTCAAAATTGAGAATCAGATATTTGGCCTTAAGGTGTTCTTTTATTCCACTACGTTCTCTAAATACCTTCCTAGTCTTTACCTAAATTAGTTTTTCTTTTCCCAGGAGTTTATTAGCAAGCTCACATCATTTCTAATAAGTCGGGTGCCTTCGTTAATGCTAGTACAATGTAACAACATACGTACAGCAGTTTTCAGAGCATTAGGGACACACGGTTCGTTAATAACGGGTTTCTTTTATGCTACTCTGCAATATTATGAGGAAAGTAACTGAAATATATTACTTCATTATAAACTTTTTGTTACCGCTCTCCTAAACGTGCCTTTTTTGTAAAAAAATTGACTTGAACTTTAAAAAAAACTATTTGTAAAAATATAAATAGAATTTAATTTACAGAAAATTATTATTAGATTCTAATAGGCTTGTAAGACACTCATTGATTCTTTATATCCTGAAATTAATAACATAATTAATCTGTTAGAAGATCAATTCTATATGTACCATGATAATATTAGAATTTTAGAATGTTTAAATGCGTGTTCCGGATGTTGCAAAATGTATTGTTATCATTAGCCTATCGCAGTCCACTGCTGGACATAAGCCTCTTCTATTGCGATCTGTGTCTGATGCAATTGTACATATTGTAATTTATTTAAAAACAACCACAATATAATTTGATGTCTTGAACAATTTATTACACTTTACACTCATTAAGCTTATACTCAGGAGGGGGAAGACTGGTGAATGAGCTTTTTATGTCAAGGATGTTCATATCAATGTCCTAGTGTCTTTTGTTATAGTATAACACGACAGCTATGAAATTAGCAATACACACACATGTACGTGTATACTTTGTAAATTTTATATCAGGTAACGCTGAGGTATTACAATAGGTAATATGTTCGATTCTATTTATACTGGGTGTATAAAGTCATTCTATTGCCAATATTACGAAACAGTATTTTCCTCCCAAAATCACGACTTCTGAATATACATCGCATATTTCATCAGACTTTAAATAAACAGAAACGCTCATCATGCAACAATAACACTCTTACAAATGTATCCATAACACAGAAATCATTTCGATTTCCGATTTCTGTGTAATTTTACACCCGCTATATGAACCAACCCAATTTTCCATTCTTTACAATAACAACGTATGAATTATATGGAATTAAAATTTTAACGTGGAACTGTAACTTTTTGATAATACTGATGCAAGCGACAACATTATACAGGAATTTACACTAATGAAGTACCCATACGATTTAAATAAAGGATAAATTACGTATGTGCTCGTTGAATAATAGACAAATATCTACATAGACAGTGCCAACGCTATCACTCTTTCAAAACAATGGACTGCCACCAACAAACAAAAACGTGATTTAGGAGAGTGTGAAATGAAGGTACCCTTACGAACCTCAAGTACTATGACACAACGATAATGCTGTAGTATTTTTATGTAGTGTTCTTTTGTTACCATTGGTCCTTTTAAAATATAGCTACATGTACATTTACTGCAGTGTTTAGAAAATTAAGTTACATAACTTAATTTTAACTTTTCGCAATACAGGTTTTAGTACCATTTACTCAAAGCATCTACCTTG